TATAAATGTTGAAAAATTGTTTTTAATGATTAATTTTGACCCCAACATAAAGACCTAGTTAATTATCTTTTATATGACGTTAATTTAGTTCGCGTAAACAATCACATATTTAAGACAACATGTTATGTAATTGTTATATTAAAACTGCTTTTATTATCTTAACGAGCTTGTTTTTATAGAACATGTGAAAAAATATATAAACTTAAGACACAAGGCATTTTGTAATCAATGCCAATAAGCATGTTTTTCCTTTTACGTTGAAAATAATTCCTTCAATAGTGACGCATTATTAAATCAATAAAAAATAATTTTTAAAGATACGACATAATACGTGCATCATGGTGACTTTCATAAAATTAAGCCAATCACGGTGCCGAATCTTACTAATATTATAAATTTGAATGTTTAGATGGATGGATGTTTGTTTGTTTGAAGGTATCTACAGAATGTCTGAACGGATCTCGCTGATTTGATATACATGCAGAACATAGTCTGGAAGAACACATATACTACTTATTAAGTTTTATTTCTTAATTCCTAGCGGACAGAGTCGCAGACAACAGCTAGAGAAATAATAAAAGAATATTTAGTGACAGTGGCTTAAATGTGTATATTAGAGGAAGTACAAAACAAACACTTACGCAGATATCTTCAAGAGCTCCAGTAAGGTCGAAGCCGCGTGTATTGGCGTCGTAGTAGCGATACTTCTTGTGGGGGATGTTCAGCGTATTGCAGATCTGAGGGTGGTTACCCCATGTCGGGTTCGGCATCCACACTTCCTTATTCTTGGCGTAGTGCTTCATTATGAATTCAAAGCCGAGACGCAGAGCGCCTGTGCCGGACAACGTCTAAAATGAAAGAGAAAATAAAATAATTTACCCTAAAAATTGTTTCGTTTTTAATTCAATTCGAGTCATATAATATAAATAATGGATACCAGAATTTGCTACAGCATCATTATTTTGCCGTATTCCGTTGAATTGAAATGAAAGGGCCTAACCCTTTTTGGCATCTTCTATACAATTTTACACATATCCAAAACATATTCCTAGAAAATTCTTATCTATAACTCTTCGTGTCATGTTTTTCTTTTATCTATGTTACTTCAAATCGCACATTGATACATGTTTACTATGCTATATACATACATTATATAGGAATAGATTCAAAAATAGTATTGGCGTATTGCCCCGTCCGAAATAGTGCTGAATGATCGTCAAGGCAACCCGGCATTATAATAGACAAACGGATGCACCAATGAAAACAATTTTAAACTTGTTACCATGTCTTTATTGGGATAAACATCCATAGAAAATGAGACTTTTATTCAATATACATTTGTAGTTTTTTATACTTTAGGCAAAGTATCAACCCTAAAGGAAGCAATAAACGACCGAGAGGCATCATTTTTCGTTAACAATTAAATCGTAATTTTTTTTCAATTTAAGACTAAGATAATCTCGTAGGAATTTAAATCTTACCAAGTTTTAAATAACATTAGAAAAACATCGATTTCATTACTAATTTACTTGAATTACATATCTTATTAATATTATAAATGCGAGTGTTTAGATGGATGGTATTTCGCACGGACGGAATCACTAGCGACAACTAGTTAAGTAATAATAGCAACCAACTCAAAATGTTTTATAAATTCAGCATAAATTAAAAATCGATGATACTTAAAAATATGCTATATAAAAGTTGCATAATCAAGTTTCTTATGCATTCGAGTATACGTCACATTATTAAATGACGTGTTTCAGACGAAAACTAGATTACACCTAAAATAGATCTTACATTCTTAGGTAACTAATGCGTAGTTGCTAAGCCATTTTTAATGCGCTATCAATTTGATAGTCAACTATTTATTGACTTCAGTGTTACAGTCACAAGACACTACTGCAGGAAGAAAATCATTTGACTACAATGTCCTTCTCGGTCATAAGACCATGCTATCATTTGCTTGTATGATTTATACAAAAACATATATATATATAAATTATTCAGACGAATATCGTGATTTTTTGACCCCACCCTACCTAGGGTAATATCACAAATTTGATAATGACAAGACGCAGTGTGGCTTTAATTATTTGATTATTTTTAGACATGTTTTTCGACAGACGAAATGCAAAAACGTAAATATCATTTTTTTTGCTATTAAAGAAGTTTAAGGTGGCATAACAACCTAATGGTGGCATTAACAACACATTTCTGATAATATTAAGTCATATACATTGTATGTTTTGAATTATCTTGACCTATGTAATCTGGATCTAATCCAACATTACCCATTGATATAAACAGATCATTGACTTATTACAAATAAACATTCATATTACATAACCATTTTTAAATATAAATCATTACATAACAATGATATTTATATAACACACATTGTTGCATGTTTTCAAATACTTAAGAAAAATACAATGTTTTTATATTTTTCTTCTATTGATTCTGGCTTCCATCCAAACATTGCAATAATGAAAATAATTTAAAAAGTAAACTTAACATAATTTCTCTTACATTGTTCTGATTGCTTGTTAATAACAAAAACTTGTTAACAAAGGTCAACTATTATATAAATACTTGTGTTTGAAAGAAATATTTGTATGGATACAATAATTTTCACATATCTTAGCAGCTCTACTTCGCGTATCGCTGCACAGAACACAATTTTACGTGTGCATATTAACATGCAGGGGAAAGGTATTGTGGGCAGCGCCCCGTTGACCTTGAGCCGCCATTACATTTGAAAAGAACTATATTTCTTCCGTTACAATCTTGAATTAAGAGAACAATGCAGCACTGAATTACAACTAGGCACATGTTATCTATTTTAAAAAGGTTATAATTTACTTACTTGTACTGTGCAATTTGATTTTTCTTGTAAAACGGGACAGTCTTCGCCGAATGCAAGCTTTGCAACGGCATTTGTGAAGCTTGCCTCTCCGCCGATCGGGGCATATTCATGATTCAGACATTTGTTGTAGATGATTTCCTCTGCCTGTATGTAAAATACATTTATTTTATTATACCATTAGGCCTTTTTTATTATTAATGAATTTCCGATCTTCTTAAGATAATTAAAGATAAAAGTGGTACTTAAATGTAGTCTGAGACATTAAATGTTTAATATCTGACAGTTAATCTTTCAAATATCACAAGATAAAAGCACTTCTTTTATATTTATTAATCTATATCTAGTCAAGTACAATGAAATTTGCAAATAAAAGATTAGATAAACAGGTCTACAATAAAAAATATGTTATATTTTTAACAAACAATGTACTTTTTAAATTTTTTTTTCTGTTTAAAATCTTTATCATCATTGTTATAATTAAACACACATATAATAAATTATTCATAAAAAAGATAGTTTATATAAGGCCAATTATATCTAAAGTTGAAAATATTTGCATGCAGATACAGTGGAAAAATTTACTTGCTTATAAAGAAGAAAAGGAAAAAAAATGGAAAAGGCATAGTAACCTATATAATACCCATCAAAATACATTATATATATACTGTTTAGAACATAAAAATGTTTGAAGTAAAACACACCTTTCTTACTGAAGGCAATACAAATGGTTTCCCTTCATCATCTCTGTAGGCTCCCACTCCTAAGTTAACTTTATTTGGGTCATTATCCCTTTTGTATGCTTCAGTAATGCCCAAAATGACATCAGGTGGACCCATTTCTACATTGTTCCACCAGGTACTTAAAAAAACATAAAAAAAATACTAATATTTTCTGACAAAGTATAAAAATTATATACTATACAATTAAGAAATATTATTAAAATGCGCGTACATAATTTCTTTAAACTCCACTTTATATGACACTTTTTGGTGGATAAAACAAAACACGAGTTCTTGGTTAAGAATTTAATATTTTTCTATTTTATCTTTTGTTATATTATATTCTTACTATGACTACAGAATATAATTTAAAAGAACTAAACAAGAATCTTAAAAGAAAGGTAAAAACCTTTCATCATATGTTATTATGTTAATTTTTATGTCATGTCATATGTCAATATCTTATTGGAATCCTATAAAACAAAAAGGAAACAAAACACGTGCATGCACGCCATTTTTTATTCGCAATAAGATTCTTAAAAACGTATTTCTTGCAAAAATAATACTGTATTAACTTTGTTACGTAAATAATCATAAATGCCGGTACCATACCTTCCAGCTCTGACAGCCAAGCCACCGAATATATTATCCGCATTTTTGTTTTTCAGTACTTGGACTGTTAAATTTTTTAGTACTTGACTCATTTTAATACTGGTCGACCCTCGTCAGCAGAGAATGTTGAATTGAATATGCCCGTCGGCGGCTACTAGGAATTTAAATTAAATTAATACTACACCAAAGTCTGCAATTTTGCAAATTGCTGAATGAATGAAATATGGTGGAAAAATTGTTTGAGTTTGACTGATAAGAATTATTGCCAGATACTAAAATTTCGATTTCCCTAATTCAACCAGACAATTATATACTCTTTGCAATTATCGTTTATTAACATGTCTTATTTCAATATTTTATTATCAATTTATTTCACTTGTATCGATATTAATACATAGTGTGGTCTCTGTTTTATTACAGAGAATGTTATGGACGACAAATTATAAAAATGCAAGTATCGAGACAACGAAGTTCTGGGCATATGGTAAACAATAAGAACGAACACATTTGTTATACTGTATAGTTATCTAATTTTAGTTTAGCTCGTCCTAAACATAAGGAATAATTTTAGTAACGGCAACATATGAATACTTTTTCCCTGGGTTTTCATTGCCGAGACATATGCAGAAAAACATGTGTCATCTCTATTTTTCTCCATTTTCAACAAACAGAAAGAGAAGGACGATAATATGTCATTTGAACAAGTTAAATTATGTATGGCTGTCTCTGTATGTACTTTTGTGATTGGTGAATGCGTCAATGTCGCTGAAAGGTCAATATTCGAAGAATTGTAATTTGTATAATAGCATAAGCTATATTTACGAAATTCAATAATTTTGATATTTAAACTATATTTAACACGATAAAGCTTTATATACTACTAAATTCTTTGAAAATCATCGTTTTCAGTACTAGCCAACAATACAGGTAACCTAAACAAGATTTGCTTATAATGCACTTTATAGTTAATTAGGTGGATGATTAAATACATTTAAACTTTACCTTCATCACAAGTTAAATCTAAATAAAAATAAATGGGGTAGTAGGTAGTTTAAACAAAATCAATACATTTATAATACGAATAGACAACGTTTATTCAATTTTTGTAATCTATATTGACACAAAACAAAACCATAGATTAAGGCCGGACGGAATGACGGAATGTCAATTTTATTATGACGTTTACTTTTCTACAGAAGTAGTGACGAAATAAGTGTTTATTTGCCGTAGTAATTGAAAAATATGGCTGCTGAAATTAAGCCTGCACCGAGAACACCCAATGATAGATTTTCTACAACAAAAAAACCAGCACTTTTAAGCAAACTCGAAGGTTGCACCGACGATGTTAATGCTGCTGTCGTGATACCTGGCGAGGATGGAGTTATTAGCGTTTGTGATGATAAGTAAGCATATCTTTTAATTGATCCTAATCATACTACTTTCATATCTATTCATGCACCTCTTAAGACCATATAGTGCTAGTGATATTGCTGAAAAATAAATAAGGTACCCTCATAAGACGACCTATTTTCAACCGGTAGTAAACCGTTAAAGACTTATTCTACATACATGTTTGACGATTGTCTACTGGTTTTTCACATTAGTAATGTAAATGTAAGTATATGATAATACTAACTACTGAGAAATGTATTAGATCATCAGGGAAGAATATACTATTACTGCAAATTATTACATTCCAATTAGTATAAATTATAATAAAGTTAGTATTGCTATTATATTTTATAGGACTGTACGAGTATGGTTAAAGCGTGACTCTGGACAGTATTGGCCCAGCATCTGTCAGTACATGCCATCTGGGTGCACATCAATGTTCTACACTCCGGAGACTCGGCAACTATTCATTGGTCAGGAGAATGGAACTATTTCAGAGTTCACACTTGCAATGGATTGCAATAGAATAAATCCTGTGAGTTAAAGTAACCTTGGAATATTTTTTTTTTGAATTATGTTCTAGACATGTTGATATATACTATATTTTTATCTAAAAGCATTACTGTGTAGCAAATTGGATAGCACTATGTTAAGATGATAAGACTATGTTGGTCCGTTACAAACAACATTGTATTGTGTAATATGTTTTTAGACAACATACATATTGTATCCTAGTAAATGGACTAAATAGGATGATGTAATAATGCTTACTTACAAATATATATAACACTCATAAACATGCAACTCCCTCTGTACATAACAGATGTGTTTATTTTTTATGAACTTTTTCCAGACTCGTGAATATTTAGCACATACAGCGAGGGTGACCGCTGTGGTGTTCTCTCTGAGCTGTGAATGGGTCCTCTCTGTCAGTCGGGACAAGCTATTTGCGTATCATTGTAGTGAGACAGGCCGCAGGATTGGTGGATACTCCTTTGAAGCGTGGTGTACCGCTTTGCAGTATCCTTTGTAAATGTTATGTTATTTAAGATAATGGTATTATAGATATGACATAAAATTATTGAGATGTAAAATGATTAAATGTGTGATAAGTTAGGCAAGAGATCTACGAATCATTTGAGTTAGCTCCGTATTTTGTAAGAAAAAAAAACATTCGTTATTTAAAATTATACTACTTACGTGTGTTAGTCTTTAGAAAGTCACAATTGTTTATTTATACCTTTTGAAATATTGAATGTTTAATTTCCTGAACTCGTAATTCAGATTTGATTCTCAGTCAAAATACGCGTTCGTCGGCGATTACAGTGGCTTGATAACAATGCTGAAATTGGACAACAACGGTGCAGCACTAGTCACTACTTTAAAAGGACATACAGGGTAACTAGTATTATATAATTATATTTACTTGTACATAACTTTATTACATAACTAGCTGTCACCTGCGACTCCGTCCGCGCGAATTTAAATTGAAACTTAATAAGTAGCCTATGTGTTCTTCCAGACTATTTTCTACATCTGCATCAAATTTCATACAAATTCATTGAGCCGCTCCGGACATACCTTCAAACAAACATCCATCCATCTAAACATATGCATTTATAATATTAGTAACAAAGAAGGGGAACATGTTCGTGTAAATTTTGACTGCTTGCTTTTCCTCTTTTGATAATATCAAAAACATATTTCTGTAAAGTCAGTTTTCTTTACAGATCAGTTCGTGTACTTAATTGGGCGCCAATACCTCAGTTGTTATTTAGCGGTTCTTTCGATCAGACTATTATAGTGTGGGATATCGGTGGTCAGAAGGGAACTGCTTATGAGTTACAAGGACATAGGTATGTGTTGTTTTAAGTTTTTAAAATGATATAATAAATATTTTTGTCATTTGTTATTAATATTTTTTACTCACCGATTTTCACTAAATGAAATGAGCAATATCAGTGGCCAGTTTGTCATCTTTGTTAGCCAAAGAGGTTGAATATGTCTAACTTTACAAGTACTGATTGTTAGGTTTCAACGTTAATTATGTTCTTACTATTGCTAAATAGGAAGGAAACTGACATTATTAGCAGTCCTGTTATATCCATTTAGGGCAGGCGATATATCCCCAAGATTGTAACTCATTGTAGTTGTTTATGGGTAACAGTCACTTTGATATTGGAACTAAAGATGATAACAGCAGCAATGTGACGGTGCTGAAGTTGTCATGTTATGAAGGAAATGACAAAGTGACAAGGCTGAAGTTGTGATGTAACATTTTCAGTAACAAAGTGACCGGTCTGTGGTACGTGGGCGGGTGTGAGCGGCTGGTGTCCGCGGGTGAGGACGGGGCGCTGGGCGTGTGGGAGATGGGGGTGCGGCGGCGCGAGACTCCGGCGTGGCGCGAGGCCGACCTCTGCCAGCTCTGCCGCGCGCCCTTCATATGGAACGTGCGCGCTATGATGGAGAAGAAACAGATTGGTAGGATTTATTACAGGACAAAGAACATATTTTTTAACGATATATTTTCCTGCGATATGCCTATGTTTCCCGAAGATAGTGTAGTTTTTAAATAATGTAATTAATTCAGTAATTTCGGAGCCTATTCAAACAAATCAAATCGTTCCTCTTAATAATATTAATCTTACGATTCTCATTTCTTAAATTTGTTTTTAAATGAAAACGATTAGTTTCAGTTTACAGTATTGTATGTCTTTGATTAGTGCATGTCTGTATGTTTGTTGTAGGTCTCCGTCAGCACCACTGCCGGTGGTGCGGTGCGGCGGTGTGCGGGCCGTGCTCTCCACACCGGCTGCCGCTGCCCGTCATGGGGTTCGAGTTCCCGCAGCGTGTCTGCACCGCGTGCTATGAAACGTTGAGACATGAACCGTGAGTATAAATCTACATCTTTCTGTATGAACTATTTAAATTGGTCTATTTACGTGTAAACAATTCCAATATAACTCTTATTTTTTTATTACAATCGCAAATGAAAAATAATCTTACGCTAAAATTCTTAAATATAGTAAATGTAACAATGGTGCCTTTTTGATGTCTACAAGACTATATTCTACACTATCCAGGCTATCCGCACTAAGGGACGCACTTAGCATTCATTAATTAACTTCAATATTTCCGTTAGGAATATATAAGGTTTAAGCTGTTTGCCAGCAGCCTACCAATATCAAATATCGATCTAAGCGACGTAAAGAGTTACATCTTTCACACACAAAGTATATTACTGGTTTTGTTGGTTATATGACAATACTAGCTGTCGCCCGCGACTCCGTCCGCGCGGAATTAAGAACTTAATTAATAGCCTATGTGTTCTTCTGTTCAGCCATTCTGGAGATACTTTCAAACATTCATCCATCCACCTAAACATTCGCATTTATAATAGTAAAATGAGTAATAGATGCAACTATTTTTGTCGGATATACAACTGTTGTAGATGTAACCCTTTTCGTTGGACATATGACCTTATGAGTTAGAGATGTGACTGTGTTGGTGTGATCATATATATTAGTATAGTATAATTTGCAGCCGCGAGTCCTTAGCTTCGTTCCACGACATGAAGCACGCGGTGGCGTCTCTGTACGTGGACGAGGCGACAGGCCGACTGTGCACTGCGGGCAAGGACCGCGTCGTTAAAGTATGGGATGCGGGCGTGTTACTCGCGCCCGCACCTCGACCTGGTACCAGCGAACATTAGCCGGTATTCAATCTTATTCATATTGTATTAAAGTCGAACTTCCAGTGCTGGGTGACGTCGGATGTTTGTAAGGACACATTGTAGGAGACGAGCTATGGTTTGTATTTATCTTGAAAAAAAACTGTAAGCCTGAATAATAGGAATGGATTGTAATTCGTTTAAATAGATTTATTGTTTAGGCTATAAAAACACACATAAAATATATGATTTTTTTGTATTTTTTTAAGTTTGTGTCCTAGTGTGTCCACAAAGTAATTCGGCGTTCTAACATCGTCTAGATAAAAAAAATGGCTCGTAAAATGGATTGTTTAATGCTTTGGGATGTATTAGTTAAAGATCTCTATGTTTAATCTTATATTTATTAGCACTCGATCATTTTCATTTTCGTCCTGTTAAAAATATTTATATAGATATTATAGTTTTTATATTGGGAGCACTGATGAAGTGAAACATTCCAAGCTGATCATATAGGATTATTATTTAGAAAGTTTTTACTTGTGCATTAATCCTAAAAATTACATTACGATTTTTTTTTATTTAATCCAGCAAAATTATTTCTGTTTTGCCTAGTTTTGCCTAATCAGTGTTCTTCATATAAAATTTCAAATATTGTAGGCAATTTGAATTGCTCATAAAATAAGTGCTAAATAATTGGACCGTAACGTCCATATGTTAAAATTATTAATAAGTAGATCTGTATAGTAATTGCATAGAAAAAAAACAGATATATGTAAAAACTTCGACAATATTTCATACTAGTAAAAGCTTGCGATGTCATTGTGTGAAACTTAAGACACCATTTTGGTGTTTGCCCTTCGTACACGAGAAACGTAAGTATTCGATACTAATAATGGATACTTGTGTCGCGAGCATCGTGTAACGCGCGATCCTAACCTACAACATGGAATCGTCAACGCGAATCGTTGGATTGTGACTGTTCTTACGACGATCTTGACAAACAGGTAGCGAGCGACTGGGACTTGGAATAAACAAAATATCGGCGACGTGTGTCTTATCGACTAAAATCGCCGAGTTTTGAAGTATACGTTCCCCTGTGTACGAAGGGTTTTAATGTTTTTTTTTATTAGTGTTAATGTTTATGGTCCAACGAAGGTTTTTTCTGTAAGATTATTTTTTATTTATCTATTGTAAGACTGAATCTTTCAGGATAATAATGTTGATGTCTTAATGTTCGCGTAGACATGTGTGTAGATAAATCAATATTATTATGACGAATGTCATAATATACTTCCTTTTTTTATACAGTTGGCAACACTTTATAGTTTGTTATGGCAACACTGAAGGTATGTTGGTGATATTGAAATATATTTCGTTTATATTTTATCTGGTAACATCGCCAGTAAATAAAAATATTATTATATTTTTTTTTTGTAAACTTTGATAAAGTTTTTCTGTCATTCAGTACCATACATTAAAATATTTATATGCCAATCATGGTGATAAATTCGCTAAATGTTTGCGCATTAAATATATTTAAAGTTATAATAAAATTATTCGGCAATAACTCGATTATGATTCAGTCCAACGCTGTTTCTCTTTTTTTTTCTCTATATTTACATAAATTTATTATTTATTTACATAAATATGTCAAAGTTATGAATGATAATAAGGTATGTGCTAATGCCGTTAAATCAGCATAGGTTAGAAGGTGAGAGTTATAAAATAAAAACCTTCTGATTAGCATTTAAATAGTCTTTGATCGTTATATAGTATATAAAATTCCTATATATTTCTGAGCACATCCTTGATTGTATGGAAGGAAATGTCGCAACGATTTTGCAAGGCTTTTTTGTGTATGAACCATTTAAATCTAGATATATCTAGTAAATATACTGGAAACATTATAATGTTTGATTTGTTCAGTATATTTTTTAATTTAATTTTTTTTATTTATTAAAATTCGCTAGTTTAACGTATTAGCAGCATTTAATTATTTTAAAATACCTTTATTAATGACATTAATACTGTTGATAAATAAATTTTAAAGACATAAATAAAAATTTAATTTCAGTATAACATAATATTTTTGTATTATATAAAATTTTTAATAAAAATTGTACTTCATTTTTAATTTCAAAAATATTGAAAATAGCTCATAATATTGATTTATTAAATAATCCATGTTTTATTTCAAGCTGTTTAAAGAACAAATTACTTATTTTTCTTAATAAAAAATAAATTAAATAACTTCATATTATCTATAAGAATGTGCTGTATGGCTATTAATTTTAATTAACTTATATTAATTAATGTTATTTTACTATAAATATAAAAATATTATTCAGAAATGTAATTTAAGACGGAAAATAAATAAAATTACTTAAGTAATATTAATTTCTTTATTATTCACGTTTTTATAAATTTCGACTACTTTTAATTAATTGTTTATTAAAAATTTGAAATTGGAATTATATTTTTTTTTCATTAAAATATTTAGTAATCATAATTATAAAAAAAGTGTAAAATTGAAAAGTTAAAATTTAATATTTTTCGTCTTTTTATTAGTGTCCTAGATTTGTTATTTTTTTTAATTAGTCTTAAATGTTATTGGTGTTCTTCTGTAGATGTGATTAACATATAAGCGTGTATATTATATATTATTTTAATCGGAACTATTAAAAAAAAACTTCGATTTCATCGAGAAGATTAAATATTTTTTTATTCACTGAGCTTAATTTGTGTGTTGTAAAGTTAACACTGTAAGATATAGTCACTTTATATTATGTATACATATAGGTCGCTTAAAGTTTATATGCAAATAAAATTAATTAAAAAATAACGCTTTTTTATTATTACTATATTAAAAAGTAACACCCTCACAACTGTTATTTCTTTTTTTATAAAGTACACTAATGAACCGATGTTACGTCATAAATTGACCAATTTGAAAAAACAAAAAAACCATAAAAATTAAAATTTTTTAGAAATTAAAAAGTTGAGTATTAAAATGTATTTATTATTTATTAATAATTACAAACTAGGTATAAATACAATTTATATTAAGTATTATTGTGAAAAATTCGTAATATTACTATGGAGGTAGATAGAGAAAACTTAACAAACTTAACACTTGGACACTGTCTTTTAAGCGATAGGTTTTAACTTAACTATAGTGCTGTAGATATGTTAGTGATATTCACAGCCTTTTGGTATCAGGTACATCGTTTAATTGCGAATCCTTCCACGGGTCCAGTTCCACCAGCCGTGGGCAGCAGGAGCGGTCAAAGGGTTAACGGTACACTTTCAGCCCGGGCACGTATACTGACTTTTGGGTACACACACTTGTCCATTGAACACTTGGCCTGCGGGGCAACTAAGGTAAGTTCTAGAGCCCAATACACAGAAATAATAACTTTTGCACTCGGTGCCCGGTTGAAGGAAGAAACCCTGTTCGCATTTTGTATCACTATTCTCGACAATGTCCGTCCTTTGACCACCGCATTCGTGGCGCGAAGGTTCAACGCATGCGTGACCGTCGAAGATTTTGCCTCCGAGACATGACAAAGTCGCCAAACGGTCACCCCCTTGGCAGTAGAAATATCTGAAATAAAAATAAGCATTACTGAAGAATATTTCGTACTTGTCCAAAATGTTGAAAATAATTTATTACTTTATAGCAACGGTTTGATATTCATTTGCGATCTGGTTTTTTATTTGTATTCTTTTTATATTTCGGTTTATCAAAAGTACTTCCTTTATCAAATGGTGCAAAATCAATAATGCTAATTTGGATATTTGCTTGTCTTGGTTATTAATATTTTTTATTATCGACTTGCTATTTTTTATTTCTATTTTTGTTACTGTATTTGAATGGATTAAACTGGTACACTATTATTTTTTTTATAATTTACTCAAAGTTGATTACAGAATACGAAATTGTCTTAGTTTACCTGTGACAGCTGGTTTCGATCTCGGCGTGGTAGCCATCGGCGAGGCCGAGACAGGAGTAGTCCTCGCTGGGGCAGAGGTGGCGGCGCGCGGGTACGCAGCTCTCGCCGTCGAATACGAAGCCCACCGCACACGCGTACACAGCCTTCTCCCCGCCTACGCATGCGTAGTAACCGCGACAACCCGTGTCGCCCGCGCGGTATCGCCCGTCCGCGCGCCCATAGCAAGAGTCCCGGTCCAAGCTCGGGCACAGATAGCGCGCCGCCGGCGAGCACCGCGCGCCGTCGTAAATCAACCCGTTCGGACACCTCAATACTGTTCGCAGGGAACCCTCACAGTGGTAGTATTTCGTACAATTGGAATCGAGATCCTGGTAGGTCCCACTCGGCATACCCTCGCACGAGGACGACTTCTCTGGCCCCTCGCACGAGAAAGTCTTCGACGGAACACATTTCGCACCGTCGAACACTAGTCCCGAATCGCAAGACCCGCGGGCCACGACTCTCTCTCGCCTGCAGTCGTACCAAGACATACAGTCGCGCCAGTCCCGGTATCTTCCGTCCTGCCGGTTGAAACACTGGCTCCGCGCTGGCGGCGGACAGGAGGCGCGTCCTACAGGCTCGCAACCACCGTTCGAAAATAATAGACCCGTTTCGCAAACTCCTCGTCTGATCACTCTCCTCGCTTCGCAGACGAAGTATTCTCGACAGCCCGTCGAGCGGTCGGCGTAGGCGCCGTCGGCCGCCTGCTCGCACAAGGACGAGCAAACCTCGTCGGAGCAGAAATCCGCATCGCCTGCCGGCAGCGGGATTGCGGCTGAGCGCGGCGGCGGACACGGATCGACGCAGGTACCTCCGGGACAGGAGGCGACCGCGCGCAGTTCCGCGCCCCGGCATACCATAGTGCGCTTGCATTCATGTGAAGAGTCTGGATAATCGCCATCCGGTAGGCCGGCGCACAGCGGCTCGTAGCAGGTACCGGCGCCGCGCGAGCATGCCTGCCGGTCCAGGTCGAACCACGAGCCCGAGGGGCAGGAGTGGTCCACGGCGGTGCCGTTTTCGCATCGGTAGTAATGCCGGCAAGCGGTGCCGGGGGTGGCGTAGGCGAGCGTGTCGGCGGGGGCGCACTCGCGGCGGATACAGGGGTGACCGCGGCGGGGAACGCACGCACCCGCCGCCTCGCTGAACACCCGGCCCGGGCCGCACGCGTACCGCCGCCGCACAGCACCCGACGTGCATCTGACGTACTCCCTGCATCCAGTGTCGTAGTCGGCGTAGAGCCCGTCCCGGGCGCACGTTATGTCATCTCCGCCTGAAACGGAAACCAGAACGATTCACCGCGCGCTCGATTTAGACGTGTCGATTATTATAAACTAGTTGCACACATGTCTTATTTACATTCTAAAACTAAGTGACTCATTGTCGTATCTGGTCGTTATTTTAGATTGGGTGATAAAAAAATATATTTAAAAAGGTTGAAAGTATTGCGCAAAAAATAACATTTAAGTCGTTCGTGAATATTTAAAGCGGTGCTACGGTAGGGGTTATTTCGCAATATACTCACGAGAGTAGTGCGTTACCGCCGCGAGGGCCAGGAGCAGACGCAGCGCGTATGAGGCGCGTGTGGCGTGCGCGCGCGCAGACATGTCGGCTGCGACTGAGGCCGCGGCCGAGGGTTCCTTGACATTCGCACGCCCCCGGCCCCGGCGTAACTCGATCCCTGCGGTGGCCCGGATGCAGCCTCCGAGTTAGGAATCTAGACACGCCTCGTTGTGCCGAACGCCCGACGCTCGAGTGAAAACGACCGCCGATACCGCGACCCTGAACTTTATCAATGCAATAAAATATATTAAGACAGCGATGAAACTGCTCGGTCAACTTAAGAAAATAATTGATTAGTCAGGAGTTAAAGCTTGCGCTTTTGAAATTGTGAAGTATGCAACGTGATCGAGTGACGAGTAGGTCCTGGTTGCCATGAATAACAACTTTCGGCTTCAACAATAGATATCTAAAAGGAATTTAATTCGATTGTTCGCTGAGTAACATTGGTCTCTTGTTGCAATACACAGACTGGGCGAGTATGTTCTTGGTTTTTTGTACGTATAGAATTGCTCAATTACTATTCCGCTGCCGTGTCCGTGGGAAACTGTAGCAAAAAACACACGCGAGAAAAAACTCAAAATAGTATCAAAGAAAATAAGTACTTAGTATTGAGATGGAATCTCTAAGAATAGATAGTGATGGTCAAGAAACGTTATCAAAGGTACGTTGCATGAATGCAATTTACGTTTATTAAAAGCTGAGGATTGTCCGCTACGTCATACGTTTTCCTATCTGTTGTCAGCAAGAGGAAAATCTTCACAATTCACTGTTCTTAAGTTGTTCAATTCATTCATAAAACTAATATGCTTTCATAGCTTAATTTTAATGCAAGTCGAAGTAACAGATTATATTAAAACATATTTTTTAATTTTAACAGACAAGAGTTATGCATCTAATGGTTATTGTAGAGAATAATCGATTATTCTTAGGTAGTTGTGTGATCACTGTCAATAATATCAGCAGGCAGTTCCGCCATATTGTAAGGACGGTACAAATCATGCTGAACGCCCGTGCAAATGTGTTTACCAATAAAACATGTAATGGGATGCCACGATGGTATGATTATGTTTCTTATTACGTAATGTTAATCAAGTAAAAAGATAATTTTATAATACTGTTCGTAAACTTAGGATAAAAAGTTGTTTTTCCGTAAATAGGTGACTGACATCTTAATTTTAGGTGTATCACTGTTCTAACATTGTTTGAAAGTCATCTTTAGAGATGCTGTTTAACCTGAAGTCAAATTACCATAGTGTTGACATTTTCATTTGCAGATAGTAAGTGAATGTAAAATCATTGCAAAATGATAGGATGCATCTTTGGTTTGTTAAAACATCTGAACATCTGATGCGAGAACTTATTTTGTAATATTTATAATAAACTAGCTGTCGCCCGCGACTCCGTCCGCGTGGATATATAAAAAACTTAATATATAGATAAGTTAAAAAAAAGCAGCTCTTCAAGGCATAAATTCGAAAAAAATAA